GCTTATATCTCGTTTGAATGCGGTCGATAGTACACCTGCGTAACATCAAAGGTGAGGATTTGGAACTCGTTTTCAGATTGTAATTCATAAAGCTATTGGGCTCGGTAGTTATAGCTGGAAGCCGGGTCGCTTGTGATGAGCAACAACCGATTACGCTAATAAGGCTCATTTCACCTACAAAGCAGACGCCGGGATACGGTTATGGTCACATAAAAGTCAAATGATTGTGCACCATCGATTGTTACACCGGAGTGAATAATGTAAAATTAAGCTTCACTCGGAATTTGGGTAATATTGTCTCATTTTCACCCAAAGAATCCAAGTCAGGGAATTGCCTCAAACATTCTTAACGATCCGACCTCCCACTTTTCTCTTCAAGTGGGCAAGTACACAGCTCACTCTACGTACGCACACAACAAAACAGATGGAAGCGCAAAATCCTCAATTCACTTTTCGGACAATATGCGACAATCGAATGGCTTTTTCACTGATAAATTCATTTACATCAGTTACATCGTGGTCAGGGTAGCTAGTCTGTGTCCCGTACGACTCCATTTGTTACTCTCCGAATGAACAAACTTGTGTCCTCAGCAACTTGTCAAGAACAGGTGCAATTTATTTTTGAGTTCCTGTGAGATCATTTCTGCATTATTGGCATACTTCTCCATGAGCCATATATGGCTTTCAGTCATCAGTGCCGGACACCAAGTGAGCGTGGACGATGCAAGCGACTGCTCTCATCGACACGTGATTCGTGACAAAAAGCTAAGCGGATCATATCTACATCTCGCGGTCCATTGTGCCAAAGGTCACATTATTCATGCAGCCCTAGGAACTAGTTTGTATGACGTCTAATGTTTAACATAATAGACTTAACGGTACTCAAAATGCCCAGGTACCGAAAGTTCGGATGTGTTGCATGAGTCGCGTAATCTTGCTCAGAATGACTAGAAGTGAACTTCGAAGTCAAATCGGTGATTGACGTTAATGAGTGATGTTAACTATGATAAATCCCGTCGGGGCGCTTGTGTTCCGCATCGATCCGTTTGGATCATTCGGTGAAATCGTTCCGGATAATCAATTCTCTTATCAATACCAATCCAATTTCTCCTCAATCGCCTCATAAAACGACCTTGTGGGATGTAGAATCCAGCGACCCATTATAACGTGTTCACAGTCATTAAACCAAATTGTTTCACTGTTTTCTTCTGTTCTGTCTTCATGTCTGTTGACCTCTCTCTCCAAATGATGCTTCTTCTTGCGAAGTTAGTCAATCCATCAGTCAGTCAGTCAGTGAATCTGGCTTCCGGTCGACAACTGTCTGAGAGATTTTATTATATGATCAATCTGGCCTTGTCTGGTGCAGTTTCGTGCGATTCGAACAGATGTCTAACCAAACGACACTAGTCGGAGTATGGCTCATATTGTCGACTATCAATGGATTTAGCTATACTGTAGGATAGTGTTAAAATCGAATGGGTTATGCGCTAGTGGAATTCTCCCTCTTCATTTGACCAGAGGCCATCGACGAGATTGATTGAAGCGATGATAGGGGAAGGTGCAGATGAGGTTTTCGGCAGTAAAATAATCACATTAATTTTAAGTTGTTTCACACAAAACGTCAAGCTGACTGACGAAGCAAGGACAGATGGGTGAGATTATTGAGTGTTCTTTAATCAGCTTGAATAGTAAAGCCTATAATGCACAAACCTAAAGTCACAAATTGGACTAAAAATGTTATTTTTCAAACCGGGTTCTGCATTCTGAAATATCTGCAGCATTACGAGTGAAGGCTAGTGGGTGGAGCAGCGGATTGCAACCCATGCTCAATGGCTAAAGAATAGTGACTATAGAAGATAGTTGACTTGAGCTGAAATAGGCTA